ATATTCCCCCTCCCCCCCTATCTCTCCCATATCTCTCCATATCCCCACCCCCTCCCCTATATCTCTCCCATATCCCCCCTCCCCCCCCTATATCTCTCCCATATCCCCTCCCCTCCCCCCCATATATCTCTCCCATATCCCCCTCCCCCCCATATCTCTCCCATATCCCCCTCCCCCCCCATATCTCTCCCCATATCCCCTCCCCCCTACCCCATATCTCTCCCATATCTCTCCCATATCTCCCCCTCCCCCCACCCCCCATATCTCTCCCATATCTCTCCCATATCCCCCCTCCCCACCATATCTCTCCCATATCCCCCATCCCCCCCATATATCTCTCCCATCTCCCCATCCCCCCCCATATCTCTCCCCCATATCCCCTCCCCCCCCTATATCTCTCTCCATATCCCCCCCTCCCCCCCCATATCTCTCCCATATCTCTCCCATATCCCCCATCCTCCACCCTATATCCCCCCCCATATCTCTCCCATATCTCTCCCATATTCCCCCCCCCCCCCCCCATACAGGTCCACCGCATTTACCGCAGCACGGGCGCCAGCTTCGCCAAGGCCCAAGCCGAGTTCTCCCAGGGCGTCATGGGCAACGAGCACGTGCAGAACGTCGCCTCCAACGCCGCGTCGCACGCCGTCAGGAACCACTTGTTCACCGGGGGGGTAGGAGGGGGAGGAGGAGGAGGAGGAGGAGGAGGAGGTGCCGGCATGGGGACTGGAGGAGGAGGAGGAGGAGGAGGAGGAGGTATTATGGGTGGAACTGGGCCGAGGTTTTAGGGAGGAGGAAGAAGGAAGGAGGAGGATGTAGCAGGGAGAAGGAAGAAGGAAGAGGAGGAGGAGGAGGAGGAGGAGGAGGAGGAGGAGGATGATGTTGGAGGATGATGAAGGAGGAAGGAGGAAGGAGGATGGAAGAAAAAGGAAAGAGGAAGGAGGAAGGAGGAAGGAGGAAGGAGGAAGGAGGAAGGAGGAGGAGGAGGAGGAGGAGGAGGAGGAGGAGGAGGAGGAGGAGGAGGATGAGGATGAGGATGAGGGAGGAGGAAGGAGGAGGTAGGAGGGAGGATGAAAGGAGGACGAGGAGGAGGAGGAGGAGGAGGAGGAGGAGAGGGTAGTAGGAAGGAAGGAGAGGAGGAAGGAGGAAGGAGGGAGATGGGGAAGGGAGAAGGAGAAGGAGAAAAGGAGGAGGAAAGGAGAGGGGAAGAAAAATTGAGAGGGAGAGGGAGAAGAAGAAGCAGAGAAGAAGAAGAAGAAGCAGAGAAGAAGAAGAAGCAGAGAAGAAGAAGAAGCAGAGAAGAAGAAGAAGAAGCAGAGAAGAAGAAGAAGGAGGGAGGAGGAGAGGTGAGTCGTACAGCTACTTTTTTTTTTCTCTGATTTTCTTTCTCTCTCTCTCTCTCTTGTCTCTTTTCTGTGACATTGTTTTCTCTCTTTCTCTTCTGTTTCTTTGTCATTTTCTCTTTTTATCGTTGTGATTATTATTGTTGTTGTTATTGTCATTATTATCATTATCATTATTATTATTATTATTATTATTATCACCATCATCATTATCATTATTTAATTTTTCATTCTTCTTCTTATTTTCATCATTATCATTATTTGATTTTTCATTCTTATTATAATAATTTTCATCATCATTATCATTTTCATTATCATTATCATTATCATTATCATTATCATCATCATCATTATTTGATTTTTCATTCTTATTATTATTATCATTATCATTATCATTTTCTTTATTATCATCATCATCATCATCTTTTTTTTTCATCATTATTATTATTATCATCACTATTATCATTTTCATTATCATTATCGTTTTTCATCATCATCATCATTATTATTATTGATATTATTATTGATATTTGATTTTTCACTATTATAATCATCATTATAATTATCATCATTTTTTTTTCATTATCATCATCATCATCATCATTATTATTATCAATATCATCATCATTATTTGATTTTTCATTCTTATTATTATCATTATCATTATCATTTTCTTTATCATCATCATCATCACCATAATTATTCAATTTTCTCTTTCTCTCTCTCTTTGTAGAAGCAAAAAGGGAGACCCAGAAAGAGAGCTGACAACGGCTGACAAGTTTTATGCCGGTTGTCATGGATTTCGCGTCATCATGATCATCGTTACGTCAGGAAGAAGACCGGAGTTGACGCCCATAGAGATGACAGAAAAGAAAAAAAAGAAAAAAAAGAAAAAAAAGAAAAAAAGAAAAAAAGAAAAAGAAATGGTTGGCTGACACTAATGGTCTCTCCCCCCCCCTCCCCCTACCTGGAGGGAAGGAAAGAAAGAGAAAAAATAGCTGAAACTCTACCCCTCCCCCCCCCCCCCCCACTTTCTCTTCTCTCTGTCTCTCTCTCTCTCTCTCTCTCTCTCTCTCTCTCTCTCTCTCTCTCTCTCTCTCTCTCTCTCTCTCTCTCTCTCTCTCTCTCTCTCTCTCTTTCTCTCTCTCTCTCTCTCT